TGGGGCGGATTGGGTACTGGGGACTGAATTCAGGGGCACTTGGCCACTGAGCCACATCCCCAGCCCTATTTTGTATTTTATTTAGAGACAGGGTCTCTCTCTTAGCCTAGTGCCTCACCATTGCTGAAGCTGGTTTTGAACTTGCGATTCTCCTGTCTCAGCATCCTGAACCTCTGAGATTTCAGGTGTGGACCACCATGCCCCACAATTTTAAGCCCATTTTAACAAAAAGAAATGGGTTCTTTTTTTTGGGGCGGGGGGGGCGGAGTGTACCAGGGAGTGAACTCAGGGACACTTGACCACTGAACCATATCCCCAGCCCTATTTTATATTTTATTTAGAGACAGGGTTTCACTGTGAGGCTCAGTAGCCTCACTTTTGCTGAGGCTGGCTTTGAACTCGCGATCCTCCTGCCTCAGTCTCCTGAGAAGTAGTTCTTTGTTGCAATCAACTAAGCTTTAGTTTAGTTTGTCTTACTCATGTATTTAGACTAAAATGGAGCACACCTGCTGTTTCATCTGTAAGGAATGTTTGCTCCTCCCCTGGGTTCTCATCCTGTATTTCTAGGAAATAGAGGGTGTTAGCAGCACTCCATGAATAATAACACTTCATGTTAGTGTCTGTCTGGACCTTACAGTTTCATTGTTCCTTAAAAAAGTGATATCCTCTCCTGAGGAAATGTTGTGGCAACTAAGCAGCAATGGATCCATGTGTAGCATTTGTAAAATGGGAATACAAAGTGGAAGTGTCTCTGCCCCTTTTCCTGCCAGGTGCTGAGTATCAAATCCATAGACTTGGTATGCTAGCAAGTGAGTTATCACCATCCCTGGTGTGTGTGTGTATTTGTTTATTTTGGTACTGGGAACTGAACCCAAGGGCATGTTACCACTGAGCTAAATCCACAGTCCTTTTTATTTTGATACAGGGTCTGGCCAAGTTGCCCAGACTGGCCTCAAACTTGGGGATCCTACTGCCTCAGCCTCCTGAGTTGCTGGGATTATAGGCACACCCCACTGCTTGGCCCAGGTGCTTCTTTATATTCAGGGCAAGGGCAGCGTTTTGATCCTCCTGGCAAGTATAGTGTATAGGTTCTCGGTGATGGATGGCTCAGTATCCCTCGTTAAAGTCATTAATTTACCAGCTCACTTTGGGGTTATGTTTGGGAAGTTTTATGGTACTAGAGAAGAGAATGGGTTTGGTTTTAGGGTTAGGAGGGGTTTTTTATACATGTCCAGCCACACACAAGTACACTCACCCTTTATTTTTTGGAGGCTTAAATATCAAGTTGATGTGGTTCCAATCTCAATTCACTTTTTTTTTGGTAGGGGTTCTTTAACACTGAGCAACATTTCTAGCCATACACTAATATACCCTCTTTTTTTGGACACAGAATCTTAGGGCCTAAGTTACTTAGGCTAGCTTCAAACTTGGAATCCTCCTGTGTCAGCCTCCCAAGTTACTGGCATTACAGGCATGCACCTCTATACCCATTTCTCTCAGTTTACTTCTAATAGCCATGTGGCCTCTGTTTCCTGGTCCATAAAATGGGACAAATAATGCCTGCTTCATAAAATGATTATGATACTCAAATGAGGGGACAAAGTGGGAGGCTGAGAACCTGGCTTGCTGCTAGCTTGGTAGAGGTTCACTTAGTGGTAACTGGCTCCTATTTTAATCCAACAGGATTGGTTGGCCAGATGGGTGGGCACCAGATGTTACATACTGTAGCTGATATTCCCAGGCAGGAGTGAAAGTAGACATCCATGGGACAACTTTCAACTTGTCCCATTACTGTAGCACACAGTCTGTGGTCTGGTGCAGGAATATTTTTGTAATTCCAGCATCTTTTTTTTTTTTTCTTCCAGTGTTGGGAATGGAAACAAGGGCCACATGCTTGCTAGGCAGGCCCACTGAGCTCTGTCCTCAGCCCTACAGTCTTCCCGATCTTCCTGAGTTGATTTCTCATTGTAAATAAATAATTTTTCTTTTACCAGTAGATTGAGAACGTGTCTTGGGAGATCAATCACATCTCTACATATACTGACAGTTGTGTTTCTGAACCTGGGAAGATAAATAAGTAGGCCCTAGATATTGGGGGACTTCATTACAATGGCTTCACAGTGTGGGAGCCACCAAGTACAAGCCTGACTATGGAGTATATCTCTGGTAACCTCTTCCTTATTGCATACCTGACCCATGACACTTGTCACTTCTAACTTACAGTTGTTTCTCCATGCCACACAAATTATAATAGGACTCTTGGCTGTACTGCAAACGATGTGTTGATCTTGATGTACTTTTACTGTGAGATGTGAGGCATATGCCCAGGGTGATAGTGACAGCCACAGTCTGTTAAGGAGTCTTACTCTTCAGGTTGAAGGTGAGACTCACAGTATTTACTCTATTCATGTGTGAAACATATGAAGTATAATTGGACCTCAAGTTCTGCAAATGAGTTTTTTCACTTACCCCTAGAAGAATTTGATTATGAAGGGAGTTCATTTCAAGTTCTTTTGCTCAGCACAGTTCTGAGAGCAGATAAGACAGAATCACTCCCCAACTCTGGTTTAAATGCTGTAATGCTGTATCTTTTTTTTTTTTTTTTTTTTTTTGTTCTGGGGGTTTAAACCCCGGGGGGGTTACCATTTGTGGCCCCCTTTTTTTTTTTTTTTTTTTTTTTTTTAATTGTGTTTAAAAGACAGGCTCTCACTGAATTGTTTAAGATCTCTCTAACTTGCTGAGGCTGGCTTTGAACTCATGATCCTCCTGCCTCAGCTTCCCAAGTCACTGGGATTACAGGCATGTGCTATTGCATCTGGCTTAAATGCTGTATCTTTAGTTTCTGTGCCAGGTAATTTTATGAGGAGAGCTTTGAGAAGAGGTGAGGGAGCATTGTAGCATGATAGTGTAGCAGAAAGAAGTGAAAGGGACAGCTGTAATGATTATCTAGCCCAGCTGCTTGCCTGACAAATGGGAAATGGGAGGCCTGTACCAGCTGAGTGGCAGGCCCTTTGGTTATTGGCAAGGCCAGGGGAGAACTTAAATTCCTCAGTTTGTATGTGGGCCAGTGTAAAGTAGATCTGTAAGGAGAAAACCTTTCAAAGCCCCAGTTTATTCTGACTGCTTCTTTGGAGTACTATAATGCAGGACAGGTTTTATTATAGTATGCTTTTCTGTGTCCATTTTTTTTTCTTTCACAGCATATTTTTTGTGCTTTCAAGATTTTATTTTGGGCTGGGGATGTGGCTCCAGCGGTAGCGCGCTCGCCTGGCGTGCATGCGGCCCGGGTTCGATCCTCAGCACCACATACAAACAAAGATGCTGTGTCCGCCGAAAACTAAAAAATAAATATTAAAAGAAAATTCTCTCTTAAAAAATAAATACATACATATTTTTAAAAAAAAAAGATTTTATTTTGTTTGTTTGTTGTGTGGAGGACTGAACCCAGGGCCTTGTATGTACTAGGAAAATGCTGTGTCCCTGAGCTACATCCCCAGCCCTTTTTCACTTTATATTAACACAGGGTCCTGCTATGTTGCCCAGGCTGGCCTAGAACTTAAAATCCATCTGCCCCGACCTCCTGAGTTGTGCCACTGCACCCTGCTGCCTTTGCCTTCAGTGTTTGAATGTTGATTTATATATCATAAAAAACATGATTTTTTTTCCACCTATGTTGAATTGTTCTTTTTGAATTTCTTTTCACTTTTTTATTTTTCCCTTATAAACATAAGAATGTTTATAATAAAACTTTGGGGATGGTGAGATGAAAGAATGCAGGAAAGCTGGTATTTGAGAACTTTTTAGACTTGCCAGTGTACAAGTTACTTTGAAAAGGTATGTGATGGAGCTGGGGATATAGCTCAGTTGGTAGAGTGTGTGCCTCGCATGCACTAGGTCCTGGGTTCAATCCCCAGCACCACACACACACACACAAAAAAAAGTACATGTTATTTAATAGTACTATGGTTAGCATATTGAGAATAAATAATTCCAGTTTTCTTCCTGCTCAGAATTAAAATTAAGTTTAAAATTACATTCATTATTTTATAAATTCATCTTTTTAAAAAATATTTTTTTACTTGTTGGGGCTAGATATTTAGCTCAGTTGATAGAGTGCTTTCCTTGCATGCACAAGGCCTGGGTTCAAGCCCCAGCACCACAATAAATAAATAAATAAACAAACAAATAAATAATAAAAATTAGTTGTTGATAGACCTTTATTTATTTGTATGTGGTGCTGAGAATCAAACCCAGTGCCTTACACATGCCAGGCAAGTGCGCTACCACTGAGCCACAGCCACTGCCCCAATTCATCTTTTTTTTTTTAAATTCCTGTAGGTATGCTTGAATTCACAGAAAAATGACTCAAAGGACTGGCTAGAAATAGAGGTTTACAAACCATCTTAACGAGGGGAGGGGTCAGGATTTCAAAGGCAATTCATCTTTTAATTCAAATATTTGAACATCAGTTGTAGAAGAGACACTGTTCTAAGCATTTGTGATATGGTCAATGAAGCAAAGTCATCCCCAAGTAGCTTACATTTTAGTGGAACAGAAAGACAACAAGAAAGCAAATTAATAGTATATTAGGTGACAGTACATTTTATTTTAAAAATTTATTTATTGTGGTGCTTACACATGCTAGGCAAGCACTCTGCTACTTAACTAGATCCCCAGCCTGTGGTGGGGTCCATTTTATACAGGGTACTAGGGAAGAGTTCTGAAGATATAATATTTTATCCAAGACCTAAAATAGTGAAGGGAGAGAGGAACAAGTGGAACAGCCCTGAGGGACAGTAGACCCTGTTGAGGAATAGCAGTCTCTGCATGAAGTAAGGGCAGACTGCCCGAGGCCTGCTAGGGGACAGACAGGAAGGCCTTCAGATTTCCTCTTAGGTGGGATGAGAACCATCAGAGGGCTTGCGTGGGAAGGGTGGTCCTTTGCTTTGCACCATGTTACTTCCCAGTGCTTTATGCTGCTCAATCTTTTCTTGTTATAGATCGTCTATGCCGAAAGGCCTCTCACAGACAACCACAGATCATTGGCGTCTTACGGCTTGAAAGATGGGGACGTTGTGATTTTACGACAGAAGGACAATGCAGACCCTCGGCCTTCAGTGCAGTTCCCAAGTAAGATGGCGCCTCCTGTCTAGCATCCCCTCACGTGAGCAACAGTAGTTAGCAGAGTATAGTGGTTCTGAGTTTGGGGCTTATCATGGAGCCAGACTACTAGAGTACAGATCCTGACTCTGCTTCTTTATAACCTTGGACGTGGTTTGACTTCTAATTTGGCTTTGTCTTCTATAAGAAAGGTGCCATAATTACTTAACTCTAGCTCTTAGAGCTGAAGTGAGAATAACACCTTTGGCACGTAGCAAGCCATCAGTAAATGTTTGCTTCTGTTGTTATCAGTGATGATGATAGTCTTTTTTTTTTTTTCTTTGATTGGATTTTTTTAAACCATACGATTTATTTATTTTTTTTTTAATCATACATGACAGCAGAATGTATTTTGACATATAATACATACATGGAATGTATATACATCAATCATAATTTCTATTCTGCTGCCAATGATGATAGTCTTTATCCTGGGAGGAATTTGGGACTATGTAGCCTGTCATTCCAGTTCTCTCTTGCTGCTCTGTCTGGCCAACAGTGTATTGCCTTTGTGAAGCTTCTTATAGCCAGGCAGGAATTGGCATCCATGCTTCATATGCACTCATAGAACTTGGTTGTGGTCTCTCTTTACAATTTTCATCAACAGAAGAAGCTTATATTTTACATAGCTAGTAAGCAGAAGGCACAGGAATTAAAATGTGGTGCTTTTTCCATTATACCAGACTTGGTAAACTTTAAGCAGCTGAACCATCAAGTTCTGGTTCTTTCATACCAGAACTGTATTAATCATGTGAGAAGAAATTGTTATGTGTCTTGGCTGTCTGCATTTAGATTTAGAGATTTCTGTGTCCCTGAAATAACAGGCAGAATTGTGGGTATCCACCTGTACATTCTTTCAGTGGTGAGAAGATCCATAGTTTCCTTAGATACTCATGATCCACAAAATGTTTATTAGATCCTTGTGTCGAATTACTTGTTGGGAGATACTGGTTTTTTCCACTCTCTGCCATATTCTGTCACCATTCTCTAAACAGTGTTAACCAGCAGGTCACTTGGTTTTAAAGTCTGTGGTAACATATGATAGGAGTCTTGGTTGATGAGACTTAGCCTGGAACACAGTGCTTCCATTCAGCCTGAAACTGGAGCTGTGTAAGACAATTAAGCACTGACTTCTTCAGATCTGGATTGCATTAGTCCCTTGGGGCTACTGCTAAACTTTACAAAAAGTAGTCTAGGTTCAAGTATGCTAATCAACAAAAACCAAATCTTTCTTTGGTTAATTTGTTGAGGTTATTAGTACTGGAGACTCACTGTTTTTTTTCTGTGTTGTTTCCTTGTGGACAAGACAGTCAATATGTTGTTAGTGGGAGGGATCTGGTTTACAAAATAAACAAGTTTTTCAGAATAGTTTTGAAGTGAGTGGACTCTCAAGATAATGTGTAACGGGGGTAGAGATAAAATTTCTTGACCTGCCAAGAAGGCCCGTACATATGTTTTGCTAGTTGGTGTAGATTAGTGACCTCACAGAGATCGTGCTGTTTGTTTTCAGTAGTTGTTGTGTCTGTCTCTCTCTCCAAAATATGCATCAGTTGAAGTCTATTTGAAGACAGTAGCTTGTTGAACTCATACTGCAAGGCCAAAATTTTAGGCCTGAGTTTAACCTGTCCTTTTTTTGTATTTGAGGTCCTTTTGCACCAGAATTTGGACAAGTTTGACCATTAAATATATTCTGGGGGGAGCTAGATGTGGTGGCAATTACCTGTAATCTCATCAATTTAGCAGGCTGAGACAGGAAGATCGCAAGTTCCTGACCTGCCTTAGCAACTTAGTGAGACCCTGCCTCAAAATAAAAAAAAAAAAAATTTGAAAAATGTAGATTTACTCAAGCTTGTTGCCCCATTCTAGCTCTGCTTATTTATTTTTCCTTTTTCTTCTTTTTTTATAACAGCTTTATAATTCATATACCATATTATCCACCCATTAAAGGATACAATTCAGTGGTTTTTAGTATATTCACAGTTGTGCAACTATCACTCTATCACTACAAGTAATTTTAGTTCATTTTTATCACCTCTACTTACTAGCAGTCTTTCATATTTTCTGGATGCTCCACAAGTCTGCTTTCTGTCTCTTTGTACGTACTCTTTCTGAACATTTTGTGCAATGTGTAGGTTTTTTATGTAAGGAATAGGGCTCCTGCACTTTTTTTTTTTAACATAATTTTTAGTTGTTGATGGACCTTTATTTTTATTTTATTCATTTATTTGTTTGAAGTGCTGAGAATTGAACTCAGTGCCTCACACATGTGAAGTAAGAGCTCTACCACTGAGCCCTAGCCCCAGCCCTGCTCTTTCTTTTTAATAAGGTCAGCTCAGCCTAGAGTACAGCACCTGAGAATTGTAGTCTTTAAACCTGTGACAGCTTTTGGTGGACCCAGCAACAAGATCCTGTGCAGTTCCTTTTCTTCAGTTTTTCTCTCCTATAAAGTGATTATACCCACTAGCTCCAAGATAATGAGAAGAGTAAATGGTGATGTACAGATGAGTGTATAAATTCAAAGAACTACTAAGAGCTCTTCCATTGGGCATAGTGGCTCAGGTCTCTAATGCCAGTGACTCCAGAGGCTAAAGACAGGAGTATTGCAAGTTTGAGGCCAGTCTTGAAACCTAGGGAGACTCAGTCTCAAAAAAAAAGGAAGAAAAGAAAAATAGAACTGGGCATATAGCACAATGGTAGAGTGCTGCTGGGTTTAATTCCTAGGGTATGTTGGAGGGACTTCCCCAAATCAATGTATTTAACATAGACTTGCAGAGTTTAGCATCCAGTGTTTATGCGGTTCACTTGGTATGTATAGTGTTCTACCTCAAGTGGCAGAACTCTTTGAAGCATGTTAAACCAGACTAGGATTTTTCTCAAGACCCATATCCAGAGTTATGTAATTATATTTATTGAGACTATCTTTAATTTTCTAGAAACATAATAAATACTTGTTAACCTGGTCTAAGATAGTTTTAAGCCCAAAATTTGTGGTTACTACCATTGCCTGCTCTCCTTTCTATTCTTTCCTGTTGGTTGACTCTTAGTGAGATTCCAAGTGAGAAAGAACAATGGGGAAAGCCATTCCTATCTGCCATTACCATTGGCCACTGCATACCACATTTGAGCAAGTATTGACTATTTCCTTTAAGTACTTGTTTTTTGGAGTCATTTGGATAAAGGTGATTGGTTTTTTGATTTTTCTTCCCACAGCAGACCTACCCCGGATAGACTTCAGTAGTATAGCCGTGCCTGGCACATCGAGCCCCCGGCAGCGCCTGCCTCAAGGAGCACAACAGCCCCACTCATCTCCTGGAGAAACGACATCCTCTCCTCAGGGCTTGGACAACCCTGCCCTGCTCCGAGACATGCTGCTGGCCAACCCACACGAGTTGTCCTTGCTGAAGGAGCGCAACCCGCCCCTGGCGGAGGCACTGCTCAGTGGAGATCTTGGTAAGCTTCTATGTGTGGAGGGTTGGAGGTGAGGTGATTAGTTGGCCATATTGGTGGTCTTGTGTGAGGTGTGAATCAGTGCTAGTGTTCGAGGCTGCGTGAAGGGCAGTAGTAGGCTCTAGAACTGAGACCCTCTGAACTGGTCTCTACTTTGTTTCTCATTGTTTTAGCAGCAGCTGAGCCAGGTTCTGATATTTTGACCTGCTCAGTTAGATCTTCAAGTTCAAGATCTCCAGGAAGTGAGCTTATCCCAGCTGAAGAGCTTTTAGTTTAGGACACCAAAATAACTCCTTCCTCAATTGATTATTTTTCAGTTGAGGTGGCGTTTACTTACAGAGAAGTACACAGATTTGAAGTTTTTAATTCACTGTGTTTTGACAAGCTATGTAACCCCAATAAGATACAGAACTTGTCGTTCACTCTAGAAAGCTCCGTTGTGTTCCCTTCTAGTCATTTTCCTCCCCCGGAGGCTGCAATGGATACTCAATATAGATTGGTTTTGTATATTTTTGAACTTGCTGTATATGTAATCATAGCATGTATGGTCCTTTGTGTTAGCTTTTTTTTTTTTTTTCGTTTTTTTTTTTTTAAGAGGAGAGGGAGAGAGAGAAAGAGAGAATTTTTTTTTTAATATTTATTTTTTTAGTTTTAGTTTTTCGGCGGATACAACATCTTTGTTTGTATGTGGTGCTGAGGATCGAACCCAGGCCGCATGCATGCCAGGCGAGCGCGCTACCGCTTGAGCCACATCCCCAGCCCCCTTTGTGTTAGCTTTTTACTTCACTGAATTCTTGGATTTGGCCGTATTGTGTGTGCTAATAGTTCAAATGACCATGACCTTGGTTTCTTTGGTTATCACACCTAATTGCCAGAGATCAGAGATGATGGTGATAGCACATTTAAGTTTATACATTTCATGTACCACCATTTAAAAAATGGCAAAATACTTAACATCTTGTTGTAGCAAGCAGAGTTTTTTGTTTTGTTTTTCCGTTTGCTAAATTTTCCTCATCAGTACACACAAAATACTGGTAGACTAACATTGGTTTGCACTTAATTTATCTGGCCTAAGGCACAGTGTTACCAAGGAAATGAAGATAGAAAAGGAGAAAGGGGATTATAGAGTGCTCTGTTTTTTTCTTAGGTAATAGGATAATGAGGACAGTGGGCAGGGAGGCTTAGAGACACTTATGTGCCATTCAGATAGTCATTCCTTATTGGCTAAATTGAAAAGTTATCTGAGTAGAAACAGTACACAATGGGCAACTTGTTACAAAAATGAAAGATTTTTGATAATACTGTTTTTTCCCTTTTTCTTTTTTTAACAGTACTGGAGATTGAACCCTAGGTACACTGAGCCAGTTTTTTTTTTTGTTTTGTTTTGTTTTGTTTTTAACTTATATTGTGAGGCAGGACCTCACTAAGTTGCTGAGGCTGAACTTTAACTTGAGATTCTTCTGTTTTAGCCTCCTGAGTCACTGGATTGCAGGTGTGCACTATCACACCCATCTGAAAAAACTGTTTCTTTGTATTGAATTTAAATGAAGAAACAGTGATGCCTCAAAAATTCGAAAGAAAATGCTCATTTCAAAAAATTTTTAGGCATCCTGTCCATGTCTTTTTTTTGTGTGTGTGTGTGTGTGTGTGTGTGTGTGTGTGTGGTCCTGGGAATTGAACCCAGGGGATTCAAGGCAAGCACTTTACCAACTGAGCTATATCCCCAGCCCCTCTGTTCACATCTTTTACAGTCAAATTTTGAGAAATTGTTTAGTGTGGGCTAGATATGGTGGCCGCAAACCTGTAATTTCAGCTGCGTAGGAGGCTGCGGTAGGAGGATCACAAGTTTAAGACTGGCCTGGGCAAGTTAGCAAGACCACTGTCTTAAAATGGATGAGGATATAGCTACATGGTAGAGCAACCCTGGGTTTACTTCCCAGTACCACTCAAATAAAAAATTGGTGTGGAAAATTACTGGTAAATAATGCAATTAGAGTGCAGCTTAAGATTTTTTCTCCCTTATTTTGAAGAGAAATTTTCCAGGGTTCTAGTAGAGCAGCAGCAGGACCGAGCCCGGAGAGAACAAGAAAGAATTCGTCTCTTTTCTGCTGACCCCTTTGATCTTGAAGCTCAGGCAAAGATAGAAGAAGATATAAGGTAATGATCTGTTCACCTTAAGAGCAAGCCTCAGAGCATCCGGGTTTCCCACACTGCAGGGCATCTGGCATTGGCTGGACATCTGCTTGGAGGTAGCTTCCCTGTTTCAAAGTTGAGATAATAACCTGTCTTTTAGGTAATTCTTCTATTTTCCTCACATTTTGATCCAACATTACAAAGGTCCAGGTGTCTAACTTAATGACTTTCATTTTTTCCAAGAAGTGTTACAAAGATAGTGGAGTAGCACATAGATAGATTCAGCTCCAGGTTGGTGACCCCAGGACTAAGTAGAAACCCCATCTGGTGAGATGGCTAGGCTGATTACAGAGGCTGATTTGATTTTTTTTCCTTAGACATGTTGTGTGTGTCCTGATTAAATTTGGGGCTTGAAGATGATTGGATTAACAAGATAGCTCTGCTCGGTGGGGCCCTGTCGTCCGTCTGTCTTCCTTTGCTGTTCTTGTGCTGGCCAATTAGCTGACAGCCGGACTCACTTCTAGCTCCAGTTCTATGGTGCAGTGGTCCTCACCTTGGACTGCATCAAAGCACACAAGCTGCTTTTAAAAATGCAGATGCATGGGCCCTTCTAATGGATCAGAATTCCTCAGGAGTGGAGCCTAAGCAAGTGCAGTCTGCTAGTGCCAGCCATGGCACATAACTAGTCACAAGTAAGGTGCTATTTGAATAGAAGAACAGCTGAGCCTCCCCACCAATTTAGTTTCTGTTACTAATTATAAAGGTCTTAGTTTAAGTACGAAGAACATAACTGAACCAGTATGCCAGTTAGACTGTGTAGGATAGGGGCTTTTATGGGGCTATTTTCTTATCTTTGATCACTTAAATGAGGCCTAACTTGGTTTTCGTATTTCTGTTACTTGGAAGTCAAATAATGCTTTTTTATTTCTTATTTCTTTGACTACACTTGAAATCAAAGAAATGTGAATTGTGTGCCAAAATCAGTTGATAGTTCTGAGCTATTCACTCATGTTCTTGTTGACTTCTGTTAATTGTATGAGAGATAGTAAGCATCTTTGAGAAATATCTCACTAGTAAAGCTACCCAGGGAGAGCACAATGTAGAAGATACTGCACTGAAGCTATAAGGGAGACCTGGCGGGTCAAGAATAGTTGCGTTTAGCCCAGGAAGCAGAAGGGGTGGGAAGGCGTCATATGCAAACTACAATACCGAGCTGTTGAAGAACAGAAGTGAAATGGAGCATGTCCATATGGCTCATGTTTCCTTCCATGGGTGGGGTAAAGGAAACTGAGTAATGCATCCATTCTTGAAAGGAGAAAACCTTGTTCCTCTGAAGAAACTCTTCATATACAGAACCCAGAATAGCCAAAGTAACTGGTATTATCTTAGAGGATTTTTTGCTGAAACTTAAATTGAATTGGAGTCAATTCAGGATCAGGGTACACAATTAATTTTACGTTATTTCTAAAATTAATAATGAGCAGCAGGATAAAATCTATGTAATTATATCAAATGCCTATTAAAGTTTTATCTGGCATGTCACATAGGGTATGTGTACGCTGAGCTGTAATAGCCTTCTTATTTGCCTAACTAAATTAAACAAGGGTGCCTTTGACTTTCTGGGAAGTTTAATATTTTATTATAGAACAGCTGATTACGCAGTCAGCTCAGTTGAGCTGGAGTGTCGTTACAGAAAGGACAAGTATTGTAGGTTGGAGCAAGGGTCAGCAGACTTTTCCATAAAGGACTAGTTGTAAATATTTTAGGTTTCGTCGGCCATACGATCTCTGAGCCTAGACTCAGCTCTGCCTCTGCCGTTTAAAAGCAGCCATAGACAGTGGGACAACATGTAAAATGCATGGTGTTGCTGTGTTCACATAAAAATGTGTTAACTCAAACTGATACTGGGCTGCAGTTTGGCAGCCCGTGGTTGACAGTGTAGTTTACCACCAATCTTGGACCCTGTTGTTTCTTCAGGTAAGTTGTGCAACTGCTGACCTGGTGGCATTTGGTAGTACTTGTAGGAAGAAGTTGGGAATGAAGTTGGGAGTTGCTGGAGTGAGCCGCGACTCCCTTTTACATGCTTCTCTTGTATAAGAATTAGTTACGCTGAATTTTCAAAGAAATGATTTTATGAGCCTGGTGAACCCATAGTAAGTGTATGCAGTTTTCAGCAATAGATAGAGGCATGTTTTGAACATCTGCTCTTCCACCACTAGTTGCTTTACCCCTCTTAGCCCCTGTGATGGGAGGAAATTATCATTATCCTCATTTTATAGGTAGAGTTAGGTGTACACAGCCAGTACAGTTCAGACAGTCGAAGTACCTGTGTGTTGGGTGCAGTGTGTTAAATGGGCTGGCTACAGGGAGTATATTTACTGCCCAGTAAGTCCTCAGTGAAAATTGGAGCTTTTATGAAATTCTAACATTGTACAGTATAAAGATGGTCATGACCCTGCCCTCCAGAAGTTTATTTTCCTACTTTTGAGCATATTTGTTTTACATGAGGGTAATTTTGGTGCCTTTAGATTTTCTGCCCGCTGCAGATCTCATCACCTCCTACTAAACCCTTCTGTAGGATAGAACACCAGTTTCTATCCCATGACTCAGCTGCTCTAGTTAGCGCGGATGACATGTACAAACCTGTTGTTAACATTGTGACTTTGAAACAGATCTCTCTTCTTGGAAACGGTGCTTTAGTGCGCCTGGTTTTGGTTTGTTACAGGCAACAGAACATTGAGGAGAACATGACCATAGCCATGGAAGAGGCTCCGGAGAGCTTTGGCCAAGTAGTGATGCTCTATATCAACTGCAAGGTGAACGGACACCCTGTGAAAGCCTTTGTTGACTCAGGTGACGGCTCCATCTTTTATATCTCAGTGCCCCCACATCCTGATCTGACCCCGGAGTGTTTGCTTAGAGAGATCATTTATTAAATTGCTTCTTAACTAGTTTTCTATTTTGCAGTGTCTCCTTTATCTTCCTGCCTCCCCTTATTTAGCACCCCTAATTTTCTCAGGCAATTCTATAAGAAATTGGGAGTAATAGATTTAGAATAAGGAGCTTCAGGGAGGAGCTGTGTAAGGTATAGGTCAAAAATATTTCAACCTGGTCTGTGTGCCAGCACCTGGTCAGGAGCTGTGAGGAGTATCAGGTCAAACAGGGTACAGAACTTAGCGGACAGGCAGGAAAGGGAGCTTGCCTCTCAAGGCTGCAGGTAGTTTATGTATTGGCACCTCTTCTCCCAATAGTAACTCTTTGCTTTTTAGCATGAGCACATTGTGACTGCCCCCTGGGGTGTGACCAAGTGTCTTAGGCATCCTGGTTCCTGTGTTTCACTCCAGGCTGTAGAGTAGGGCAAGTCCTGGAACAGAGAAGCCCCTGCTCAGATGAGTGGCCTCCCTTTGTTCACCAGAGACCCTGAGCATATACTTTGCTTTAGCTGTTGTCATGAGTTTGTGTCTTGAGATGCAAACATTCTTGGGAGTTTTTGTTTTTTCGGGGGGGGGGGGGTGTTGTTACTAGGGATTGACAGCTGAGCCACATCCCTGTCCCATTTTTATATTTTATTTAGAGACAGGGTCTCGATGAAGACAGGTTCATGCTTAGGGCTTTGCAAAGCTGCTGAGACTAGGGTGAACTTGTGATCTTCCTCCCTCTGTTGCCACTGCACCCTTTGAGAAGTAAATCTAATGATTGGGCTTTAGAGATAAAGTGCCTGTGCTGAGTGCTCAGTGGGAAGACTTACTCACCAGGGTTCAGAGGGCTCCGGCGTGAGTGCAAGAGAGAAACCCACGTGGGAACCTGCTTTACCACCCATCCGTACTGTGCCAAGCGCCATGCCAGCTATTCATGAGTACCATCAGACCATCCAAGAGTTGTGTTCCTGTTTTTCAGAAAGGAAATGGCTGGGAGAGGTAAAGTCCTCTCCCAGGCATGCAGAGTTGATGTGTGGTGGAGTGTGATTCATGCCTAGATCTGCTTATTGCCAGAACTCTTCACCATTGCGCCAAGCCAGCTGAGTGTTGGGTGGGCATAAAGATCACATTCTCTTTCTGACTGGAGCGTGCAGAGCATATTCCCAAAGAGAGGATGTTTAAGCTGAAGAGTGGGAAGAGGCAGGAGAGCAAGGAAAGGGCCATTCACCCTGGAGTGCTTACTTTAATTATTGTAACTATTTAATTAATTAACAATTAATTAACTATTTTGAAGTAAGGTGAGGAAGGAGGAAATAAAAAGGATTGCCCTCTTAAAATCCCTTTTTCTTGACTATTTCTAGGCCTTATTGAGTCTTTCCTTTCTCAAATGCCAGGAGCTTTCCGTGCTAGTCAGGGGTAGGGTTCTAATGGGTGAACTGAACAGGATGTTGCTCGATTGAATGAGAGGTGGAGTTGCTTAGGGGAAAGTAGGTCTTGAATTGGGCCTTGGAGGTAGCAGGGTAGGGACCCAAGGGAGCTAGAGGCAAAGGGATCTCGGTCCTGCTCCTGACAACCTGGGGAGGGGCAGTGCAAGACTTGGATAGAAATACTGAGGTGTGGTTTGACAGTCTAACGCAGAGCAGAAACCCTTGAGGACTACTAAAAAGGGAGAGAAAAAGTGATTCGAAGGTGATAGTTTAGTAAAATAGAAGGCGGAGACAGATCTGGAGAATCTGTACCCCCTAAGGGTCATAACTATTTCCTTGCTTTAAACTACACATCCACAGAGTGGTTTGGAAGCCAGAGAGGAGAGGGTGTGAGCTAGGTCAATAGCTATGGTTAGAAAGGGAAAGGTTGGGGCTAGGGCTGTAGCTCAGCAGCAGAGTGCTTGCCTAGCATTTGTGAGGCACTGGGTTCAATCCTTAACACCATATAAAAATAAAGTAAAGCATGCTGTCCATACACAACTACAAAAAAAAAAAAAAATGATAATAAAATAAAGGGAAAGGTCAGAAATAGAATTTATTTGTTTATATGTTTAGGACAGAGTGTGAGAGCAGAGGGAACATGGGAGAAATCAACAGTGAGTTCTGCCCAGGTTTTAGGACTACAAGGAAATGATTTCATTGCAAAGAAAAAGAAATCCAAAGTGAGAATTATTTGTAGGGAGAAAAATTTTATACCTTTTGGGTCTGAGATAGACATGTCCAACACATAGGAATGTGGAACTAGAGTTCAAGGGAGATGTTAGGATTATAGGTGAAAATTGGGAAGTTGTCTTTTTTTTTTTTTTGTAGATGGACTCAATACTTTTATTTAATTTATTTATATGTGGTGCTGAGGATCTAACCCAGAAACCCAGTGCCTCACATGTGCTAGGTGAGCATTCTACACTGAACCACAACCTCAGCCCTGGGAAGTTGTCTTTTATGTGGGCCAACTTCAGCTAAATACCTATATATACAGACAGGAGAAGATACCCTAAATGGCCTCAACTTTAACAGGAAGAAGGCCTGATTTGGGCCCAAAGAATGAGGACTTCACTTCTGTTTCTTGGGATAATATAGTTTTTTGGGTTAGTGTGTTTTGGGGTGTTTTTTTTTGTTTGTTTGGTTGATTTTGTGTGTGCGTGCGTGTGTGTTTGTGTGTGTGTGTGTGTGTTAGTGGAGATCAAACCTAGGGTCTTCAGCATGCTAGGCAAGTGCTATTAGCACTAAACTATATCCCTAGCCTTAGGATATATTTATTTTTAATTTTTATTTTTTTAGTTGTTGATAAACTTATTTATTTGTATGTGGCGCTGAGAATTGAACCCAGTGCTTCACACATGCTAGGCAAGTGTGCTACCACTGAGCCCCAGCCCAGGATGTATTTTTTGTTGATGAGCTTTAGTGTCCCAACATTTGAAATAAAAATAAAGTGATAAAATGCTTAGAAATACTCCTTGAAGCTAGGCACAGTGGTGCACACTTGTAATCCCAGCAACTTGCAGGGCTGAGGCTAGAGGATGGCAAGACCCTATCTCAAAATAAAAAATTGAAAGGGATAGAGGGGTAGCTCAGTGTTTGAGCTCCCCTGGGTTCAATCCCCAGTGTCTCCAAAATAAAAGGAGGGAGGCTTCATGAAAACTGTTAGTGGTATTTTATCATTTTTATTTATAGAAATAGTAGTCATGGTTTGAGCTTTTAGGAGGCCCTTTCTAGGTAGTTTTTGCTGGGGTTTTTTTTTTTTTTTTTTTTTTTTTTTTAGTTGTAGTTAGACACAATATACTTATTTTATTTATTTGTATGTGGTGCTGAGGATCGAACCCAGAGCCTTACACATTCGAGGCAAGCGCTCTGCCGCTGAGCCTCAACCTTTTTATTGATAAAGTTTTGTTAGTTTGTTTTTGATGATGGACCTTTATTTATTTATTTACCTGTGGTGTTAAGAATCGAACCCAGGGCCTCACATATGCTAGGCAAGTGCTCTACCACTAGGCCATGACCCCAGCCCTCTATTGATTAAAAACAGTGGGATTCGTTGTTACCAATACACATGACAGGACGATATAATTTGGTCAGTTTCATTCCCAAGTATTTCCCCTGGTCCTCCTCCCTCCTTCCCTCCCTCTGGATCCTTTCCTCCACTGGTCTAGCTTTGATTTTCATGAGATCCTTTCTTTTCTTTTTTCCTTTCTAGCTTCTGCATATGAGAGAAACATGACCCTGGACTTTCAGACTTGGGCTTATTTTGCTTAAATACATACTCAAATTTTATTCATTTTTCCTGCAAATGACATAATTTCTTCTTCTTCTTCTGCCTTGTTCATAGTGCTGTATTGTGAATCTTACCACAAATATGGATTTTTTTTTTTTAATCATTTGATGTTTTTCCTCTCCCCCTTCAGGTGCCCAGATGACCATAATGAGCCAGGCTTGTGCGGAGAGGTGTAATATAATGAGGCTGGTGGACCGTCGGTGGGCAGGGATTGCCAAAGGAGTGGGCACCCAGAAGATTATTGGAAGGGTACATCTAGGTGAGTGAAAGCTGCTTGGGTGCTGCTGTATTTTTGTAGGGTATGTATAGAATGATAGATTTTAAGATTTTGGACAAAACTATCTTTCTTGTGGGTACATTGGATTCAGCAAACTTTAATTCCCCAAAATCCTGTGTTTACCAAGATTATATGTACATGTTTTCATTGGTTACCAAAAAACTAGACTACACACTTATATTTCCTGCTTTCCTGCTCCCCAGAGGTATTCACCCCTGTTATTTTGGTTGATTTCTCCCCACCCCCACCCCACCCTCTCCCTCTCCCTCTCCCTCTTCCATCTTTCTTTTGTTTTTTGTACTGGGGATTGAGCTCAGAGTTGTTTTACCACTGAGCCACATCCCCTGCGGGTTTTATTTTTTATTTTGAGACAGGGTCTCACTAAATTGCTTAGGGCCTCAGTAAATTCCTGAGGTTTATCTCAAACTTGAGATCCTCCTGCCTCAGCTTCAGCATCCTGAGTTTACCTCCATATTTCTACATAATGGGTTTATACTGCTGTTTACTGATATGACTATGCAAACGCTTTTGAGAGGTAGACTGACTAAATATAATTGCTTTTCTTTTTTATGTATAGTATTTTTTTTTCTTAGAATTACTAATTGTCCTTTTGGGGAGTGTCATTTGTTATGTGCCACTCATCTCCAGACACTTCCTCATTATGCAAGTGTTTCGTACACTTCTTTCAAAGCCTGGATAATGGTTCTAGACCTGCTCCATGGCTGTTGTTTGGGAATTTCTCTTGATCGTGTCCTGAGAATCCTTTTTCCTCTGCTGTGTTGTATTAACATGAATCCCATGTCTTTCCCTTTTTAAAATTTGTTCTTGCTATACTAGGGATTGCACCTTGTGTGTGCCAGGCAAGCAATGTACAACTGAGACAGTCCTTCCGTCCATAGTTTTGAGACATTGTGCCTTACCCTTAGCATTTTCGGTGTTGCTGAAGAGCAGCTGTATGGTCTTGGTCCTTTTTTTTTTTTTTTTTTTTTCCTGTAGCTTGTAGACCTTCTCTTTGACTTGAGTCTTTTGATGTACTTAGGTACGACTGTCTATCTCCTGCACTGGCTACTTGATGAACGTTTTTAATCTGGAAACTCACGTCCTTCAGTTCTAGGGACATTCCAGTCTATGTGAATGGTTATTTGGAAGGGCATCCATGGTGCTTGATATCTTAACTGAAGGATGGTCTGAAAGTGGATCAAAAAGTCAGTCTAGTATCTTTCCCTCATCCTCCTGGTTTCCAGTCAGGTGCTTGCTTTGTATTTGCTGTTCTCTGTACCCACCTCTGCTGAGAGAGCCCATTTCGCCTCTTTAGGATATACACCCAAGTCTGCCAGTGGAGTGAAAGGTAACCAGCCTGGCAGAGTATAAGAGGCATCCCAAGAGCTGATTGGACCTGTTCATACTTGGTCTGCCTTCTCCTTCTGCCACCTTCGCCTGTTTGCAAAGCTGCCTTTGACCTTATAGGGTCTGAGATATAAACTGGGCCACTTTCTTCACTGTCATCTGCTTTCCAGTTCCAAAGTTGTTTTGTGTTGTGGTTTGGTTTGAGGTGCTGAGGATTGAACTCAGGGGCCTTATACATGTTGGGCAAGTGCTCTACTTCTGAGGTACATCCCCAGCCCTGTGCCCTCCCACACTTGTGAAAGGTGGTCATATAATGGATATAGTTTTATGCTTAGCTTTTTTGGGGTGGGGGTGGGTACCAGGGATTGAACCCAGGGGAGCTTAACCATTAAGCCTCATCCTCAGAACTTTTTATTTTTTATTTTGAGACAGGATCTTGTTGAGTTGCTGAGGCTGGTTTTGAACTTGCCATGCTCCTGTCTCAGATTTCCAAGTTGCTGAGAGCACAGGTGTGCACCACTACATCCAGCTCTGCTCAGCTTTAAGAAAAAATAACATAACATTTTCCCAGTATCACTCTTAAGTTTCATAAGAATCAGTCAGATAAGTGCATAGCTTTCTGTTATGGGCTAAATGATCAGCTTTTGGGATATGCCCCCCCCACACACACACACCAATATTTTGTTAGTATAACATGACAGTAGATTTTTATGCACATTTTGAGTGTTTTTCCTTAGCCTAAATTCCTGTGAGATTACCAAGTGAAAGTAATGAATGCAAAGCCAGTCATGGTAATGCATACCTGTAATCCCAATGGCTCAGGAGGCAAGAGGATCTCAAGTTCAAAGCCAGCCTTGGCAGTTTAATGAGCCCCTAAGCAACTTAGGAAGACTCTGTCCCCCCCCCCAAAAAAAGGCTGGGGATGTAGCTCATGGTTAAGCACCCCTGGGTTCAATTCCTGGTACCCACCTGCCCCCTAAAATGTGTGTGTGTGTATGTATGCCTTAAGGCTTTTCATATATTGCTAACTTGTACCAGTTTAGTTTACCCACCACTTTATGAATATTCATCTTAATGTCCTATACTATTAAATGTTATTCATTTTCTGCCTTAAATTTGTAAATTAAAAAAAGGTGGTTTCTTGGGGCTGGGGTTGTAGCTCAGTTGGCAGAGCATTTGCCTTGCATGTGTGAGGCACAGGATTTGATCCTCAGCACCACATAAAAACAAATAAAATAAAGGTATTGTGCCTGTCTACAATTAAAAAAATTTTTGGGGGGGAAAAAAATGTGGTTTCTTATTGTTACGTTTATTGCAAATGGTAGCTTTTCTACCTGTTCATTTTTTCCTTTCATGCTTAATTGAACCTGTGTTTTGAACTATATGGGCTGTATATTAGGATCTTTGTATTTCTTTAATTGATTTGTTTAGAATAGAGTTTAAATGCCTTGTTCTTACATGTCCTAAGCACAGTAGGAGTGAAGAATTGAGCAGAAATAGTACAGGTTGGTTGCTTTAGAGGCTGAATTCTCAGGTTTTTCATGGTTGTGAGAAGATAATAGGAGATACAAGCAGGCTGTAATCCTAGGCACTCTGGAGGCTGAGACGAGAACCACAAGTTCAAGGCTAGCCTCAGCAACTTAGCGAGATCCTGTCTCCAATAAATAAAATAAATAAATAAATAAATAAAAAGGTGGGTATGTGCCTCAGTGATAAGGCACTTCTAAGTTTAATCCCCAGCACCCAATAAATAAATAAATGGATGAATAAATAAAGGTGGGTGTGTGCCTCAGTGATAAAGCACTTCTAAGTTTAATCTCTAGTACCCCAAGAGACAAAATAAATACCAGTCCCTTGTGTCCTTGTGAGTGGACTGTTTTGCAATTCTAGCATGACAGATATAAAGAAAACCTGTATAACAATCTAAATAAAAGCTTTCCCATGGATTAGGACACTCTGTTGGAGATCATAATTACCATATTTGTCTACAGAGTCACAATAACATCCAAATCCTGGTTTTTTAAATAAGATTATGTATGCTAATTTTAAATTTTGTGTGGGCCTGTTACTTAGCAAGAAAGGCAAGATGCTCTAGAATAAGTCTTTGTTCTAGATATCAAGTCAAAGGACTATCTAGAAGATACCAAAAGGGACATACTCATGCTTAATTGAACTTTGATGAATTAGAAATGATGTCCTTACAGAGCAGATGTCATGTTTCAGAAAATGCTGCTGGGACATTTGGGCGTTCATGTGTAAAAATGGATTGATTAGAAATTGGACCCTGCTCCACCCCAAAGACACAAGTCAGACCAGGTGGAGTCAAGATAGAGCTGGGAAGGCAGAGTCAGCGCTCTGGGAAGAGAATGTAGAAGGATATCTTGGTAGGGAAGGAGTTCTTTAAAAGATAGGAAGGAAATTATTTATTTACTATGTTCCATCAGTCACATTAAGATTAAGAACTTGAGCTGGGCACAGTGGCGCATGCATATAATTCCAACAACTCCAGACAGAGGCTGAGGCAGATGATTGCAAGTTTGATCTCAAATTAAAAAAATGAAAGCGCTGCTAGCGTGGCTCAGTGGTAGAGCACCCCTGGATTCAATCCCCAGTATGTGAGCAGGGGCAATACTGCAAATAACGTGAACAACCTGAGAAAGAACTTCAGTAACATAACTTATGAAGGGTTTGTGTTTATATCTGTGTTCTCCAGTTTGGTGGGAGAGAAAAGAGGAACATTTATGGCAGTAATTGAACAGGAAATTCAGCTATCTTTCCACTGGAAGAGGAAATGCAAATAGTTAATAATTATATGAAAATTTGCTCAACCTCATTATTCATACAGGAAATACAAATTCACTTGCTAGATTAGCAAAGATTTAAAATCTGTTATCAAATGTTGGTGAGAACATGGAGCAGCAGGAGCTCATTGTGCTGGAATCATTTTTGAGGATAATTCACTACGACCTAGTGAGGTTGACACAGCACCCCCAGAACCTGGGGATTTTACTTCCTAAAATGCATTTTAGAGAGGTTCAGGTAGACAAGGGGGCCACACACCATGTGACAGTCCCATTGCTCAGGTCAGCAGAGACCAGTAGCTGCCGAAGGAGCCCAGTCACTGCGAGTGAGGGCACCAGTGGGGGCTGTTGGCCTTTGCGGTGCTCTGGGGGGGACTGAAAGTGAGAGTAGTGGAGGCATGCGCATCTGCTGGGCTGTATCTCAATTTTTTTTAATATATATTTTTTTAGTAGTTGGTGGAGCTTTATTTGTTTATTTATGTGGTGCTGAGAATCGAACCGAGTGCCTCACACATGCTAGGCAAGTGCTCTACCACTGAGTCGGGACTCCAGCCGCCCCCGCCCCCCCCCCCCAGCCTTTTTTTAATAAAAGAGGTAAATCTTAGTTCAAAACTAGGAAATAATGTGCTGCTTAGAAATACGTACAAAACTGGCAAAAAACAAGGAGAAGCTGGGGATGATTGACACAAAGCCAGGATAGTGAGGAGGGTAAGTGGGTGTACATGAGGCTCTTAACTAGAGGAATAGACAATGAGTCCCAACTTTCAGTTTTAAGTTTTTTGCAGTACTAGGGCTTGAGCCCAGGTACTGGTTGAACACTGTACCACTAAGCTATACTTCCAGCCCCTTTTTATTTTACTTGAGTCAAGGTCTCACTGAAGTACTGAGGCTGGCCTCAAACTTGACAATCCTCCTGCCTCAGCATCCCAAGTTGTGCCCTGCACTTGACGTGGGTGTTTATTATACTTTCCACTATAATAAATTTTATATATTCTTCAGCTTGCTGTTTAATGATAGCAAAATACTCTTTTTTTTTTAAATCTGAGAAATATCTTTTTTATTTTCTGTTTCTCTTGGTACTGGGAATTGAACCCAGGGATGTTTGACCACAGACCCACATTTCCATATCTATCTATCTATCTATCTATCTGAGACTGAGTCTTAGTCTTGCTAAGTTATTAAGGATCTTACTAAGTGGCTGATGCTGGCTTAGAATTCGCAATCCTCTTGCCTGGATGCTGAGTTGCTGGAATTATAGGTATGAACCGCCATGCCCAGCTACATTTTATTTTATTTTTTGAGACAGTTCTGCTAAGTTGCCCAGATGATTTTCAGGCTAACTCAACTGTTAACATGCTTTGCCTTGGCTTTGATTGATTGCAGGAAGTGAGACACATAATGATCAGTTCATTTCCAGAGTTCACCTGGGTCTTTTGAAGCAAACATCAGTAACCTGTTCTCTTTGTGCTTTAGCTCAGGTTCAAATTGAAGGTGATTTCCTGGCATGTTCTTTCTCTATACTTGAGGAGCAGCCCATGGACATGCTTCTGGGACTAGACATGCTTAAACGGCATCAGGTAATGAAGAACTTGTTTGTACCTACTTCTTGTGTGTTCTGTGGCCATTATCTCTATGGCAAAACCAAGAAGCATGACTTTCATACCCACAACGTCAATCCTTAGTTGATTGTCGTTCCAAGGTTGAAGTGATGCATCATTAGAAAGAGACAATAATTTGAATATATATTAATTCATGGTCATATTTTTATTTCTAGCCTGAAGCCTAATAATTTAAGATATAACACCCTGATTAAAGAAATAGTGTTCACTGGGTAATAAACTTTCATAGTGGGCTTTTATATGTAGTCGGTATTTTTATGTCTTTTTTCTTTTTTCAGTAACGGGGATTGAACCCAGGGGCAAACTACCACTGAGTTATTATGCCCAGCATTTTTCTTTGACTTCAGACAGCCTAGACCTTGGATTTGTATTCCTCCTGCCTTAGCTTCCCAAGTTGCTAGGATAATAGGCATGTACCTCACGTGTTATTTTTGAATATTTAAAAATTTAATTCCAGCTGGGTATGCAGTTAAGTGGCATAGCTTTCACCTAGTGTGTGTGATGCCCTGAGTCAGATTCCCAACACCACACACAAACACCCCAAAATCCTAGAAAAGAATTTGCATCGTATTGACTTAACATTATGTATATATGTATACATAAATCCTAATTCATTAACTTTTACTATCTTTCTCTGTATGTTAGTCATAGCATAAACCAAAACTCTTCAATTTTATAAATATATGTGTGTGCAACTATCCTATGTTAAGTTGATACAACAATGACAGAAATGGCCAGGCACAGTGATGCATGCTTGTAATCTCTGACCCAGAAGGCTGAGGCAGGAGGATCACAAGTTGAGGTGAGCCTCAGCAACTTAGCAAGACCCTGTCTCAAATTTTAAAAGGAGTGGGAATGTGGCTCAGTGGCAAAGCACCCCTGGATCAATCTCCAGTATGGTAACTAAAACAAAGCAACAACACAGCATACATATAAAAAATATTTTCTAAAATTCGCCTTGTACATCTATCACTTTTGAGACCATTGGTGTAGAATTCAAGCTGTAATTTGTATAATATAAGTGAAAGAAGCAATGTATAAAACTATGAATAGTATGGTCTCAATTTATAATCAGAAGTGATCAAATACTTTTTTAAAGGCAAATAAATATAAAAGTGTATCCTGTAACAATTATCCTGTTATAAACTTTGAGTATTAAAAAGAATTCTAAATGGGGCATGGTGGCACACACCTATAGTCCCAGCTACTCAGAAGTCCACGGGAGGAGGACTCCATGAGCCCAGAAGTTCAGGGCAATATAGCAAGAGCCCATCTCAAAATAAACAAAAAGATCTAACTTAGGTCACCAAGGTTAAAATTTAAATGGTTTCCAGATAAAAGTAGAGTGTTTTTTGCAGCCATCTCTCCCTGTCCTTGTTGCTTTTTGTGAATGGAGTTTTAAATTCGGGATCATACTTTTTCTGCTTGGTGCTTTATCTGCTCTGGTCATTTCATTTCTTCCTCCTAAGTGTTCCATTGACCTCAAGAAAAATGTACTGGTGATCGGCACCACAGGCTCACAGACCACCTTCCTTCCTGAGGGAGAGTTACCAGAGTGTGCCCGGTTGGCATATGGGGCTGGGCGAGAGGATGTGCGGCCAGAGGAGATTGCAGACCAGGAATTAGCAGAAGCCATTCAAAAATCAGCAGAAGATGCAGGTATTTGGATGGCCAAGCTCTTATTGCTTGTGGTATCAGTGGGGGTAAGGACCTTTTCCATTTGTAATGAGTCTCACCATCGGTTTTAGATGTGCTCATTGTCTGTCTTCTTACTGCCTCCTCCCATCTCTTTATCCAATAAAGAGAAACTCTATGTTAGCAGATCAAGAAACAGCAAGTTCACATTTTGGTAGGCTTCTTAAAACATCTTTTTTTCCTAAAGGAAATTATAACAGTAAACAGACACTTTGCAGTTCAGCAGTATTTCCCTAAAACTTTCTTTCCTTTCCTTAATCCATTTATTTTGGACAGTAGCATTGTCATTATGACTAAGCAGTCTTAAGTTTTAAAATTTACTGAAAATGCTACCACCAAAGAGAAAAAAAAAACAGCAATGAGAATCACAGCTGAACAGTCATCAAAATGTAGCATTTTGTGCTCTGAGATCACAGTGGTGTTGTCAGGCCATAAAACGGTATATAAACTATTGTAGTCAAGTTACCCATGCTTTTTTCTCAGTGTCTATAGTGTTTTAGTCTGTTTAAACCTAAAGACAGAGCCAATACTGCTGGGTAAAATGGAACAATACGGTTTTGCTGAAATCCCCACCTGTAATAGAACAGTGTCTCTGGGATTCATTTTCTAGAAGCTGAAAAGAATTATTTTCCAAGTTTGGGTTATTTGAAAGTCTTGAGCCAGAATAATTTATAAGTATGACTAATCTCACACATTGCTTTTTCTAATACAGTAAAATGTACTCGAGTTATCAGTTCAGGGAATAGCTTTCTCCCGTGGATGAGATAACGAACTTTAAAATTTAGGCAGATTTTGCCACATTTTACTGGAAAGTAGTTGTAGTTGCAATGTAAATATTTTGAAGGAAGGGGAGAATTTTGAACAACAAGCAGTCATTTTATTCTTAAACCCAGCACTGTAAGCTTAAGTGAGTTGGACATACATAATTAATCATTTGGTGGGGGGGGGGGGTAATTTGTCAGCTTAATGATAATACCATGTGTTAATGAGAGGATATATTACCATTTCTTCTCTCATAGTTATGATGCTAATATTGGAGAAATACTAGCTGATGATAACAGTGTTTTCTAACCTGCAAGTAATAATTACCCTCTCTGGTAATTACCTTATTTTAATAAAAAGTTTAGGGGATTAAAATACATACCACAGATATTTTAAGCTCAGTGAAGGGTATGTATCAATTTTAAAGAATTAAAAGGAAATCACTTTTTATCCATGTCATTTTTTAAGGTTTTTTTTTTTTTTCTTTTTTTTTTTTTTTTTAGTTGTAGACAGACACAGTATCTTTATTTTTTCTTAAGTTTAATTTGTGAAATAATTCTGTAATACCAGGTCCTATTTGTTTGGAAATATGACTTTCCAGTATCATCACAATCAAAATTGTGGCTGGGTGTGGTGACACATGCCTGTAATCCCAGTGGCCCAGGAGGCTGAGATAGGAGGATTACAAGTTCAAAGTCAGCCTCAGTAATTTAGCGACACCTTGTCTCTGAATAAAATATAAAAACGGGCTGGGGGTGTTCCTCAGTGGTTAAGCACTCCTAGTTTCAGCCTCTGTACCCCCACTCCCCCAAAATCAATTTTTTTAGGGGGGTATTGGGGACTGAACCCAGAGCCTTGTACATGCAAGGCAAGCCCTCTATCAACTGAGCTGTATCCCCAGCCCCTCAAAACTCTTGGTTTTTAGGTGAACATATTTTGGAAAAGCTGTTTCTTTGATACATGCTTTATATCAAAGTCTACTTATTTTTTTTCCAGGAATTGAAAACTAATTTAGAGTAGTATCTATATCTGATGTTTTCTAATGGTGAAAATTAAAGAAGATAAGTCAGGATAGAAGTCAGGTTTGGTTTCTTCTAAAAATGAATCTCAACTAAGAAATGTGGAAAATGATTTTTACACATGTTCACTAACCTTTATTCCCGGAGACGATTTTCTTATCATCTAGTTCCATCTAATGGATTTCCTTTTTTTCTCTTTTCACACATTTGCTGAAGTTCTCTATGTGTAGATGTGTAAAATTGATTTCTTTACACATTCAATTAAAGTATCTTGAAGTTGACACATTGGCTTTACCTGTTGAGAATTGAAGCAGCCAGCAAATCTTTTGGATGCCCAAACCCTGGAAACATTCCCCAACTTTGTGCTCGTTCCTGGTCTCAAGATGGCCAAGGCGTGGAGACTATAACCCTGCATGCTGTGTAGCTTGCAGTGCTAACCCAGGTTTGCTTGTCTGTTTCCTAATCCAAACAGAGCGTCAGAAGCCATGATGCATGTGGTGTGTGTGCTGCGGCTGGAGTGGGCCCAGACCAGGTATTTACAGACGCCGTGCTCAGCCTCCCATCCAGTTGATATCTGTGGTCTCAAAGTCTCTTATCTGCAATTTTAGAAGTTAGCTTCTGCCATTCTCCATTTCACCCTGTTCTGTTTCCAACTGGCCTGTATAGACATTTGTATGTATATTGTCCATTATCCTTACCACCAGGTGTTGGCGCACATCTGTGATCCTATCTACTCAGGAGGCTGAGGCAGGAAGATCACAGGTTTGAGGCCAGCCTCGGCAACCTAGCCAAAACCCTGTCTCAAAAAAAGGGCTGGGAATGTGGCTCAGTGGTAGAGTGTCCCTGGGTTCAATCCCCAGTGCCACCAAAAAATATATATATGTGTATATATTTGTCTTTGGAGATGTCTGTTTTTATGGAGCTCATGAGTCTCTTTCCTGAAAATAATACTGCACACAATTACCTGGAGTTGTAGCATGCAGATATTTTCATTCTCTTTGAAAAAGAAATGGACACTTAAGCCAAGTGACTTGTCCAGGGTCATGGATTAATAACAAGCCATTTCCATTTCTTGTGATATAATAGGACTTTCTTTTCTAAGGTTACAGGCTGGTTGTAATTGACTCATAGCATTTACTTTCCTTCTCCCAACCCTTGCCTTGTAAGAACAGGATAAAATTCCTCATAATTTCATTATTCTTAATATCCATTTTCTTTGTCCTCTTCTCCTAATCATCCTGTAGTCCTGGCCCATCCCTCCCTACAGTTGAGACTTAGGCTGGTGAAATTGAAATTTCAGCTTCAGGAGGGATTGTGTGCCATTCTCGTGGTCAGTATGAAACCCAGTGAGGCTGCTTTCCCCTTCACCTCACATGGTTATAAAATTGGCATGCTGGGCACAGTGGTGCATGCCTGTAATCCCAGCGGCTTGGGAGGCTAAGGCAGGAGGATCGCGAGAAATAAAACTGCATACCAGGCCTGTGTAATACCGCTGCATATTGCTGATATGGCTATTTCATTGCAATGCATTTGTGTGTATGTGTGGTTCTGGGAATCAAACCCAGGGACTGACTCTTGCTAGGCAGATATTCTGTCACTGAGCCATATTCCTCGTCCCCATACAGTGCACTTTTTTATGTGAGCATTAGTACAAAATTGGACTTCTTCCAGAGGCAGCCTTATTGGTTAGATTCATAAAAATAATAACTTCCTAGATTGTAATGATAACAGTTTACACTAAGACGTGTTGTTTTCCTGCTTACTACTAAACTATAAATAAGGTAAGATTGTTTTATAAGAAGTTAGTAACTTCCTGACATAGTGCTTTATGTTTCCTGTTAACCAGTATTTGGAATGACATAAAGCTGTTTGAATCATGACTGCCTTCTTAAGCTCCCATATTAGAAGCTAACATTCAGCCCAAATCATTTGAATTGCATCTAACCAGATAGAATATATAGTGGCCAGCCTTCTTAGCAGCCCTTGGACTTTTAACTACAGGTACTAGAATCTGCATAGAGGTGAACTTTTAACTGGATCCGCATCAGGAGGGTTGAAACTGATGCTTAATGGTGGTGTTATGATATCTGACTTGAGCTAGTGTTTAAGCCTGTGTCTTACTTGAGTAAATTTCAGCGAACCTAGATTGCCTATTGACACACTGCGATGATCTCCCTACGCTGCTGTCCCTGGGGAATCCCCTGTCCTTAATGTACTTCAGTGGTCTTAATTTAGTTGTGTTCTATTAATATGATAACTGATGATCCTTTTAAAGTTGCAGTATTTCTTAGGATAATGATTGGGTTTTAATGTCTGTTCTTTACTTTTGTTTTCTGAGTCAGATGCTCACACAGTTTTACCATGATTGGGGGAGTCTGGCTAGAAATAAAACAGAACATTTGCTTCTTTGTATTCTGGCGGCCTGCAAGCATTATGTAAATTCTGCTTTCTCTTTATAATTCCTGCTTCATCTCAAGTATACCTGGTTTTGGACTCTGTTTTGTAATTTCAGTGTTCACATTTGAAACACAAAAAAGTTTGTGGACCCACAAATCATTCTAGTGTGAGGATTCCTGAGATCCATGATGTGTTTAAGAATCACTTGGGGGAAGCGGGGCTCTGGGCACAGTGGCGCACACTTGCCTATAATACCTGTAATCCCTGATGGAGACTGAGGCAGGTGGATTGAGAGTTCAGAGCCAGCCTCAGCAAAAAGCAAGGCACTAAGCAACTCAGTGAGACCCTGCCTCTAAATAAAATACAAAACAGGGCTAGGATGTGGCTCAGTGGTCAAGGGCCCGAGTTCAATCCCTAGTACTTCTCCCCCCCCCCCCCCCCCCAAAAAAAAAAATCACCTAGGGAGCGTATTGAAAATGTAGATTCTTGGGTCTGCTCTGAGGATGGTACCTCAGAGTTTGCATGCTTAACAAGTGTTCAGGCAATTTTAGGGTGAATGGTGAAGAAAACACTCTTGAGGATTCTAGAGTTCTAGACTAACTGGAATAAAGACAAGTAAGTGTCCTTCAGACCTGAGTGCTGACCTAGCCATAATGAGTGTTAAAAGAGTATATAAGAGAATTCCAAGTTTATGGTCCCAATTATATTTTATTTTTAAATATTTATTTTTTTAGTTGCAGTTGGACACAATACCTTTATTTAATTTATTTATTTCTATGTGGTGCTGAGGATCAAACCCAGTTCCTTGAATGTGCTAGACAAATGCTCTACTGCTAAGCCACAACCCCAGACCCTAGGGTCCCAATTTTATTATCCTGTTTAAATTTGTATCTGATAATTTAGTGACGTTTCTTATCTGTTAATTAATCTTATTGGTTTCCCTTTTTTTACAGAGAAAAGTGGTAAAGAATCTACCTCACTGGGAATGTCATCCTTACCAACTTCAGATGGATTGAACCATCCAGCCCCTTCTTCAGGACGGAGTCCTGAGATTGGCAATCCTACGAGTCTTGCTCGCTCTGTCTCTGCTTCGGTCTGCCCTACCAAGCCCAGTGACCCAGATAGCATCGAACCTAAAGCTGTGAAGGCTTTGAAAGCTTCAGCTGAATTCCAGATAAACTCCCAAAAAAGAGAACATCTTCCTCTGCAAGATTTTTCTGGTCCTGCTTCCTCTACAGACCAGTGTCCAGCTATGCCTTTGCATAATTCATCAGAAGAAGCAGTTGTTGCAGATAATCTGGAGAAATCTGCTGAAAGAAGCACCCAGGGCCTCAAATGTTGTCTCCACACAAGACAGGAAGCTAGTTTATGTGTCACAGCTACAAGGATGCATGAGTCACAGGTGGCTGTAGGTGAAAAGAGTCGGCCTCCAGAAAATCAGAACCTGAGTCAAGTAAGTGGCTTTCAGCCTCACGAAGAACCAGAGAACGAACCACATGAAGCTGTACAGCATGATGCTCCACGTGACCAAGAACATCTTTGTGACATGAGGGACCTTCATGAACTTCCTGAAGAGAGGCAACAGGACCAACAAGAAATATCTTTGGAAACTACAATGAAGGGAGATGGGCTACAGCAGAGTGTGGATCTTCAAAGTACAAAAGAAAGTTTCCTACTTTCAGGACGCTTTGGCTGCACAGATTCAGAAACGCTTATGGAAATAGATGTAGTCGAACAGTCCCTAGTTGCTGTTCTTAACTCAGCAGGCAGCCCCGAGAGTGTTGGTGCATGTGACCTCCCTTCAGGTAACCCCCTGATGGAAGTAGAAACATCAAAATGTAACCCCTTGCCGGGAAGTCTCAATAGTTCTGTTTCCACTCAGGATTTACAGCCCCCAGAAAGCAGTGCTGAAAGGTCTGGGACAAACAACGAATGTAGCAGCTACCCCCACTCTGTGGAGTCAGCAGAAGAGTCTTGTTCATCTGTAACAGCAGCCTTGAAAGAGCTTCATGAACTTTTAGTCATTAGTAATAAGCCAGCTTTTGAGAGTGTGTCTGAAGAAGTTGTCTGTCAATCAGAAAAAGGAGCCAAAAGCCAAACAGGTATTAAGGGCTTTTCAGAAAGATGGACCCAAAATGAGCATCTGAGCCACAGTGAACAGTGTTCACAAGTCTCCTTTTATCAGGCCAGGTCTGTATCAGCGGAGATGGAAAACTTGGGCACTGTCCCTGGAACTGGAATAGAAGGTGTAGGAAATACTAACTTCAGGGGTCCAGGTGATAGCCTGTTGGCTGACAAGGAAAGTGTCCCCAAATCTAAGGAGTCAGGAAGTGAGAGCAGCTGTGTCACTGTACCCTCAGCTGAATCATCTAATCAGTTACACTGTACCTTAGGTGCAGAAATTTCATCCAAACTTGTAGCAGGTGAGGAGGATGCACTCAGTCAGACTTCTGAGCAAACTTCGCCATCCAGTTTCATTTTGGTTAAAGACTTGGGTCAGGGCAGACAGAATCCAGTAACAGCCAGACCTGAAACCAGAGAAAATGTCTGCCCTGAAGCTGCAAGGCCGTTTCTCGAATTAGAGCCACTTACCAGCCATCCATCAAGTCCCTCCATTCTTCCACCATTAGTCTTTCCTGCCACAGATATTGACCGGATTCTCCGCGCCGGCTTTACTCTGCAGGAAGCTCTGGGGGCTCTGCATCGAGTCGGTGGAAATGCAGACCTTGCACTTCTTGTTTTGCTAGCAAAGAACATTGTAGTTCCTACGTAACTATGGGAAGGTGGGCTAGCCCGTACTCCATTCCCTTAACCGAAGCTCCCTACACACACACTCACATCATATACACACACACAGTACATGTAGAGACCTGCAAACAGAATGTTGAGCCAGATTTTTTTTTTTAAAGATTTTTTTCGGCCAAAGTAATTTATGATCTCTTGTCTGATGAATTTGTCTATATTACTTGTTAAAATTTGGGCCTTTTTAAATGTATTGGCAGAATGTGCATACAAAAGCTTTTTATTCTCTGAAGATGATGTATTCTGGAATAAAATGGAGGTTTTGTGTATAGCATACCATTTTAGAATGAGAGTGAATGCTTTGAAAAGCAGAAGCCATGAGAACTCCCACCACCCAGGCAACAGAGACTGCCCGGCTTCATGCCGCGGCCGTGCTGTAGGCAGGGATGGCTTGTTGACTCAGTCGTCAGTGTAGAAACTTGACCACACAGTTTGGTGTTTGGAATCATACCCATTGTCTATGTGTCATGATTAACCAATTATAATAGGAAACAAATAATTCAGTTAATTTCCTAGAGCAGTATGTTTTTATTTGTGTACTCAGGCTTTGACATTTTAATAGGGTGAGCAGAAGGGTTTGAAGCTCAGGCTGCTTTGAGCATCACAGGCTGCTGCGTGAGTTGCTTGCCAGGTATCTTACGACATTGGATGGGGTATGGTGGAGGGATTAATGTTAGTGTGAAACACGGTGCTACCCAGATTTAAAAAGGGAAGGAAGAAAGACCCAATCGTAGCTCCCTTTGTAAATGTCAAGGACTGAATGAATAGGTAAACACTGGAACTTACTAGAGATTGGGTTTGTGCGCATCTCACTGACATCTCAGCCCTTAATGACTGAGGAAGAAGGCAGATTCCACCAACAAGTTGAATGCCAGCAGCCTACTTCATTTCTAACCTGGCTTCTAGGAAGTTTAAGAGCTCGCTTTGGACTGTGATCTGAGCATAACACTGAAGTGTGATAGGTACCTTGTCTCTGGTTCATCTTGGTGCTTAGAATGGTCAGTCTGTTTGTCCTTTGTGGCAGTGAAAATAGTAATTGTAGTTTCTGACCCAAGTGGCCTTGGTAGAGTTTTCCATCCCTTTCTTTCCTCAGGAGTTTCTTTTTAAGCAAGACTTATATTTATGTTTACCATGTCAAGTTAGAGTGGGGCATAATGTATAGACGTATTTATTGTGGCCTTTTTTAATATAAAGACTAGCCCTTGGAAGTCATTGTCCTGTGGGCCCCACTGTGCAATAATCCTATTGGATAGGTTTTAGGTAACTTTTCTGGAAAATAAACTGTTCTCCTTGGACCTAGCAGGAATCTGAAATCTTGGTTTTCTTGAAAAGAATTTTGAGAATGATAATCCCTGACTTCAGGTTATAGTTTGCAACTTGTTTGAACCAGAAGCTTTCAAAGAGTGATTTCTGATCTTCATGTTAAATGATTTTGTCTAAAATCTCTCTCTGAAAACTCATTCTTCCCATCAGAATTCAAGTCATTGAGCACAACCAAAATGGAGGCTCATATCTCAGGAGCTTTTGATTAGAACTTTAATTTAGGGGTGCTTAGAGGCATTTCCCGACTCCCCATCCCAGTTTCTTTTTGCTGTGTTTGTATGTGTGCTGAGAGAGTTCAGCAGGGGGATGGCAAGTCACATACATGATCCTTTCTAAAGTGAGCAAAAGGCTGACGGAAAGAGTCATGGTTCACTGCTTTCCAGAGGGTGCCCTGAACAGCAGGTCAGCCAGTTGCCCTTAGGGTGCTCCTATCGACAGCCACATGTTGTGGACCCTTTGCCTGCCCTACACCAAAGATGGGAGATGCACTAGGAAACTGCTCAGAGGGTTTGTCGGCTGACTCTTCAAGCTGTGATTGTACTGAGGAGTTGGTGCTATGATTGAGACAAATTCCAGCAGCAATGCAGCAGGGCCCTTTGTCTGCTTGATGGGTAGTGGTTTGGGGGTATCTCAAGCCTATAAATCCTTGGGACCGCAGGGTGGGGGGGGGGGGGGAATTTATTGATGATAGTAGACTTCTCTCCAAAGGCCCTCTGGGAAGATGGGCTCACAGCTTGCTTGGTGAGCCATGGCCACTGAGTTTTTACAACATGGATATTTGGGAATTACTTCCAAGTGGGATATGTAATATCAGTCTGGAAAAAGATTTCATTACAGTAGCTTTTTATGTATGTATATGTATATTTATTTTTAGGAGAAAATCAAATAGACCTGTAGTCATATAGTTATTAGGAGTACTATAAATGAGCTTAACCCACTTGCCAAATATCCTCGTCCCTTTTGTCATTTTCTTTCATAGTTGCTTTTGATTTTTAAAATCTTTATCCATTTGTCTAAAAATAAAGTTGACATTGTTAGGGCCTTCGAGTGACTTCTGGAACATGCAGAGGGTATTACGGAACATTGCACTAGTGAACCTTCATTGTCCCATTTTTATTCAGTGTTTAGCATTTTAAGAACTCGGAAGTCAGGCACGAGGTGCACATCTGCAGTCCTAGCAGCTCAGGAGCCTGAGGCAGGAGGATTGCAAGCTTAAGGCCAGCCTGGGCAACATAGCAAGTCCCTGTCTCAAAAAGGGCTAGGGATGTAGCTCAGTAAGGGTGCCCCTGGATTTAGTCCCTAGTACCGCAAAAAAAAAAAAAAAAACCAACTCCAGGAATATAGAGATTCTAGATCGGCTTCTAAGAATAAGATGAAATCATTGGGCTGGACATGGTGGTGCTTGCCTGCAGTCCCAGCAACTCAGGAAGCTGAGGTACAAGGATTGCAAGTTCAAGGCTAGCCTCAGCAACTTAGCAAAGCCCTAAACAACTTAGTGAGACTGTCTGAAAAAATAAAAAAGGGCTGGGGTGTGGCTCAGTGGTTAAGTGACCCTGGGTTCAATCCCTGGTACAAAAAAAAAAAAAAAAAATTCCTTGTTGGCCCTCTGGTCAACAGCTGACCTAACAGCCATAAGAAGCAGTGGGTAGCTCCTTTACATGACTGACAGTGCTCAATTCTGTGGCCAATACTTATCTCCAATGGTGGTCTCTTCACCAAAGAGCAGAGGGTTTTCCTGTAAAACTTGGCTATTTCTTGGGTTCCTGTGTGGAAGGTGCATTTGGTAACCTGACAGCTCTTCCTTGGGCTCTTCAGCAGTACGAACTGTTTCCACTTGTGCCTGTTCAGGCCTCAGCCACCCAGGAACCTTCAGCCTGCAGCGTAGGTTTTAGCCAGTGACAGGTCACCAGTTGCTTGGTCAAACAAGCTGCACAGATGGTGAGCGCATGGAACTCCCGCCAGGGGCTGTGGGTGGCTTAGTGGAGAAGCACTTGCCTGGCACCTGTGAGGCCCTGGGTTCCACCCCAGCAAAAAAGGTCACTTTTCTATCTTGCAGCCTTGTGGCTGCAGGCTCCTAGTCCCCACATTTTCTCCCAAAGCATTTCTCTAGCAGGGGGGTGCCTAGGAAGGACACATGAGACTGATTTCAATATTTCCAGTTCCTGTGAGAGCTGTCTGTTCTTCCCTCACCAGTTTTCTCGCCTCTAGCAGAAGCCATAGAAATTTAGTTGGTTTGACTTTTCAGCTCATGTCTATAAATACATGTGTCAGCTATCATACGTACAGTGATTGACAGATGTCTTACAGTTGATTTTACATAGATTAAAAACAAGCAATTTTGATATCTAGACACATTCTTCACTTATGGTGGCTTTTGCCCACCATCTGTATAATAAACTGCCTTGCAAGCAACCAGCCTGGAGAGTCACACTGTATTCTGAATGCTTTTTCCTGTAGCTGCCATGGTCCGGGGTGAGCAGGGTGACTGTGCAGCTCAGATTTCCAACCAGGGGCAAGCACCATTGGCAGCTAACCAGGCTGGGAGCGTGGCTTAGCGGCAGTGCACATGAGGCCCTGGGTTCAATCCCCAGCACCAAAAAATACAAGCATATAAATAAGGAATGCCAGCTGGAATGAGCATTCTCTAGCACAAAGGCCAAAATTTCTCATTTGAGATTGGTGACAGTGTGGTCTGCGGCTGAAATAGAAATACAGTTATCACAAGTTTTCATCCTAGAAGATGAACGTACTTCTTACTGGTCTATAAAAGAGAAATGGCTTTGTTCCCCTGAGAATAATGCCAATATCTCTTAACAAAGTCAACTCAAAACCTGTCGTTGAGAATTAGAGGTGAAGTCTAGGTTCAAGTTTTATACTCTGTAGAGTGTCCTAGGAGCTCATGGAATAAACTGAAGAACTTAGGGCGGCCTTTTGATGTACTTGCTTTTCCTTTGTGCCTTAGTTTCTCCAAATAGCAGCAGTATCAAGTTTTGGTGGGGAATAAAAGTGGGAATATCACAGGAATCCAATGTTTTGAAAGAAGCCCTCCTGGGGATGGAGGGCACAATGTGGTTTTCTGGCTCACCGTCATCATTGGGTTTCCTGGATAGGAGGGTTGCTACGTAGGTTTTTATATCAGGCATACCAAAAGCACTTCCTAGAAGTTTTTTGTTGTACCATCAAATCATACATGTTGGAAAGGTAGTTGGCTACTCCCTTCAAGCCTATGCAATCAGGTTGAACAAGAATTTATTGCTACTTCTTGATTCATCAAACACCAAATGCCCACATGCCAGGCACTGATGAACTTGGGTGACTAAAACAGATGGGAATACCCTGCCCTTGTGAAGCTTTTGGTAGGGAGACACGAAGCAAATTTTAGCTTCAAAAGCAAGACGTATTTTTTGTTTAATAGCATGCTTTTTTATTTTAAAAGTCAGCTGGTTCCAATTCAGTCAACTGAGGGGAAAGCTCATAGTGGAATCAGATGCTGTGAACCTAGAATTACTCTTTAAATTTTTATGTTAAGAGCAAAATCAGGAAGAAAAAAGGTGACATCTGTTAGAAGTACCTGAAGAGGTCACCTGTTGAGAAGTCAGGTTAGCATGCTGAAGGTAGGTGGGCAGGACTGAAGTCAGTTTGTGAAAGGTGACCCTGCGTGTGCACCTCTTCCTTCTGCCCAGACCTCCTTTCATGCCACAGTGCCCTCCCACACCCCTTGAGTGGGGCTGCTCTGGAGTACTGACCATCTGGGCTCCCAGGAGTGAGCACAGTGCTATTTTAAAGCAGCCAAGTGCCACATGTGAAAATGGGAATCTAGAACAGAAAGTGTAGCAAATGATGGTTTGGGACCGGGTGGCAGGGAGGATTAATATACCTAAGGATTCGGGACCGCTCCATCAAAGAGACATTCTCTAACCCAGTATTTAAAATGTCACAATATATGTTGTCCTGAAGCATAGAGGTAGAATTTCTGAATCTTAAGCTCTTGGTGACTTCTGAGGTTTACAGCTAGGAAACATTCCCAAGGGTTTATTGGTTACCAATCCAGATCCTCGAGCTATACAACAGGAGAGGGTCCCGCTAATAAGTTTTAGGACACCATCTTATGGAAGGAACCCTGTCAAGGAGATGGCCCTGGGCGTAAGCATTAGAGAATGTTTCTTCTACCTAAAGAAGTTACTGTGTAGATGATGGGGAGGTGGTACAGAACACTAGATGAGGAGCCGTTCACAGAACTGTTTCTCTAAACCATGCAAAGGTTTTCCTTAGCTACATACAGGGAGGAACTGTGCTGGGGCATTTTTTTCCTGGGAAAATGCATCTAACGGAGATGATTTTCTTTACAAGAATTTGTTTTACCTTGAAGGAACACATCTGTAGCCTACAGGGTGGACCTGCATTTCATGCCAGAGCTAGTCAGATTGATTGTCCGCTCCTTAGCCAGACCACTCACTCCTTCCTTAAAGCCCCACAGATTTTGAGTTTATGTTCCCCATCCCAAACATGACCATCTGACTGCGTAGATTTCTGTTCTCACTGCCCTGATCATCCTTTTGAGATAATCCTGGTGATCCACACAGCAACTCAACACGTTGACTGAATTTGCCTTGTCACTGTGTACCTATCATGAAAAATAATTTCTATGTTTTTATTCCAAATCTCGTCTTCGTGGCAAGTTGGGCTAATGGTCTTTGCACTCAAGAAGGAGTCGTTTACCAGTTTTATAGCCATATTTGGCAAGCTGTAGTAAAATGAAAACCCTTCTTTTCTTTCCCTTATTCTTGCAGTTGCTCATATATTGCAAGATATTTTGACTTTTCTTTGAGCTTTGAGACTACTGCATCTTAAGAACTAGGCTGGCAAGACAGGTTGCCAGTGGCTCACTCACTCCCAAATGCTTTGGTTTTGAGAGTTAGGAAAACTCTTGAGAACTTAAGGGAACCAAACTCAGGAATCCCAAAGTCGGTTGCGTTGTGCCATTTAGGGTTTAGGGCTGAACATAGGATCTGTCTGCAGCTGAGCAAAATAGATGCCTTTGAGTTTGAATTTTTGTCACATACTGAAATGTAAGTCAGCCCTAAATGATCAAAACACTTTATTTTCTTTTTTAATAGGAACTTTCTGAAGAAAAAAGTGGTGTGTAAAAACATTTGATATTTAAGACAATAAAGTTTTTATCATAAGAGTTTTTGTTGGATCAATTTCTTTTAAATTGAGGTGGTGACTTCATTTTTGTCCTTGTCTCCGTGTCCCTGCCCCTTATACCCAGGCACTGTGATTTGTGACTGTGTGCCTGAACAGAAATGAGTAGCCCAGAGCCACCTTCTGATACAAAAGACGTGCCCTCTGTAGCCCTGGGTGTGGTGACTGAGATGTGTCTGGAGCCAGGCTGCTGGGTGTGAGCTCCAGCTTGTTGCTTGTTAGGAGTGACTGGGAAGTTGCCTGACTTTCTGTGCCTCAGTTTCCCGTCTGTAAGCCAAAGGCTCTTCAGGGTGGTGCTGGGATCCAAGAAGTGAATGCATGTAAAGTGCTGAGAATAGCACCCAGAGGGCTCATTAGATGTGAGGAGTGTCATTCAGAGTGTTAACCTCAGGGCTTGGAGGATGCTAAGCTGACCTCCCAGAGGCTGGATAGCTGTCTAGTCGTGTGCCCTGGGGAGGGGCCTCCTGGTGCAGGCAGGCAGTGTCCTAGGCCAGCTGCCAGGATCGGCTCTCTTCAGCATGTGGCTTCCCAGCCTCCGTGGACATGACCACCCAGCTGATGTGCCAGGGAAGGAGATGCGGTGTGGACCAGGCCTGGAAGTGGTGAACATGGCCTCCCCACCCATAATTCACTGGCTGCAACTCGGTCACGTGGCTATACCAGACTGCAAGGGCTTGTGATGTGTGATCTACTTTTGTGCCCAGAAGACCAGAGTAGTTTGGTGGTCAGGTAGTAGTCCTTCAGTTTCTCCTCACTCACAGACCACACATACCATTTCCCCAAAGGACGTGGCCCTATGTTTAGTCCTGGCATCCCACTGACAAGTCACAGTCACCAGTGGTACCCTGTCCTCTCCTTCCGGTCTTGATTGCGACTCCTATGGTCTAACCAACTGAACTCGGGTAACTTAACCTGATCTTTCCCTATAGACAGTGATGGAGCAGGGACTGCAGTAGCAAATCCTACTAGGAAATGAGAATCAGGAAATTAACTGTCACTGGCCCCTGGCCCCAGCAATTAGAAATCACACCGGAAAGGCACTATGAAGAGCTTTAAGATTCGGATTATTGGGCTGGGGCTTCAGCTCAGTGGTAGAGCGCTTGCCTCGGGTTCGATCCCCA